TTGCGCATACACTACATACAGACAAACAGATCAGACAGTACTGTACATCTATCCAATTCAACCATTTGCGCATACACTGCATACAGACAAATAGAGCACTCTTTCGTGAATTGTTTTTACCACCAGAAGATAAGCTTCGTATCTTGGCGCCAAACAGGCCAAAACATGTATAAGAAATGCAACTTAGTGAAATGAAAGAAGGCAAACGCGCTAACACATTTAATTTTGATTTTCTGCGGTCAGCATTCGAGAATCTGTATCAGAGGATGGGTACGAAGTAGTAGTATCGAGATCAAGCAGGAGTGACAGCAAAGCATCAAGCACCAGCCAACGAAGTTTCGAGGATAATGATGTATATGGCGATGAAAATGTATACGACAAAATTGAATCGTCCGGTAGTCAAAGTAAAGCAGACAACAAGCTAGAGGATGAGGCTGCAGGAAGCTACGAGTCCGTTGGGTCTTTCAAAAGAAAAAATCTCCAAAACAAAAACAACAAACCCGAAGTTTCTGGTTACGGAATGGTTGCACGACAAGGTTCTCTACCTCGAAATGACCAAGGGTCGGGTGTGTCTGAAATCGGGGCGTATGATGTTATTGGAGGAACTTATGAGGCGGAAGTCCAAAATGAAGGCAATCTGTATTCACAGGTTAAGAAGCCGATTGCCTCTCCACCATTTGAGGTTACGGACTCGTTGTACGCAGAAGTAGAGAATGCTGGCAGTATTGCGAATAGTGTGAGCACCGGGAAGTCTTCAAAGCCCAATATTACAGTTTCTAACCCGATGCCCGTGTTGGTAGAGAGCGATGATGATGAGGAAGATGAAGACGAGAGTGACGCTCGTGATACTCTTGAAGTCAAAAATAATGGGCTGTCAAAAGATCCCCTCCCTCCCCCCGTCGGCAGTATCTACGCTGCTGATGAGATTAAAAGCCTACTGCAGGAGATTGATGGGGATGTCGACGAGAAGTCACAAGAGATCAAGCAAATTAGTTATAAAGATGACTTACTCATCCCTGAATCTTGCGAAAACGCTTTCAGTGAACTGAAGAAATTTTTGGTTTACTTAGAGGCGACAGAGCGCTAATTTTTCGTCTAAAGAAGTACAGAACAGCGAGGGACACATTAAGAAGCAGTTTTATTCCTTTAATTCGAGAGGTTTTCAGCCGTGAACAAAGTTTATAGTATAACTGATTTCTGATGTGTCCTCCTGGAAACCTTAATTAATTGTGCTTTTTAAAATATTTGACTAAACCGTTGTTTTGGTAGGTAGGCATTACTCGCCTACATACTCATAAACATGATTCTTACTGCTGGTTTACCTTCTTCCTGGAATTGATGGTTTTCACGGCGGCCATGTTGGAGGAACTTAACAAAAGAATTGTCAATGAATTCTTTTGTTACGTCCTCCAACATGGCCGCCGTGTCTTTTGTTGTTCAATTCTCTTAGGAATGGTTGAAAACCATCAATTGCAGTGACCAAGAATGCAGTAGAGTGATTTATAGTATTTTTAGTGTGTGCGCAGCCCCACTGTATTTAGAAGGGGATGGGCTTAATTGACAATACGGTTGTAATAGGAAATCCTGTAGGAAACTGTAATACGCCGCGACACTATATTAAAAAGTCAATATAAAATTTTCAAGGTTAAATGAATACATATTAGGACAACTAATCTCTACCTACTGTAATTGTATTATTATTTTTGCATTGTACCCCAATGCAGGGACGCAACCACCAGGGGTCTTGCAGGGTCGGTGCACAGGAAATGGAAATGAAACTAAGGTTATAATAGCCATTTTCAGAAGTGATATAACATTCCAAGGATTTGCAGAGAAAAAATACATAGGGAGAAAAGTAATGAACATGTCAGCGGACATTCAGCTGGTGGTGGGGGGGGGGGGGGGGGGGGGGGGGGGGGGGGAGTTACACGTGCACCCATTGCACCCCTCCTGGGTACGCCCCTGCAATACCAGTTTATATCTAGGGGAAAACTAGGAAATGTTAGTTAGAAATTAGCATATCCATGAATATCGCTCTTGACGGCTAGCGTTGCTATGCTATTCGCCTGTGGCGCCACAGATGGCTGTTAATATTTGGTTTAACGTTTATATTATGCGCCAGCTAGAGTTTGTAGAATATATTAGGAAACACTCGATTTTAGCGTCACCGACTCTTATTTGGTGCTAGCGTTAGCTAATGCTTTCTCGTTAACAATTTGAAGTCATATACTTAAAAATAACATATCAAAGGCAATTTAAAAGTATTTAACTTGGTATAAACTGAATAAACGCGTTAGCGTTCAATATTATGTAGGTATATTTTTAGCCATTCCGAGGTCGAGGGAAAGACTGGGGTCGATTTGGCATTACAGTGCATTGTGGAACGGTTTGGGGGACGAAATAAACGCTATCTTGGGAATATGACTCTTAATCAGTCCCACAATGCATTGTAATGCAAGCTCGATTCAGTTTCCTCATCCTCAGACTGGCTAATATTACACTCTAAGGATGTAAATATAGCTGTTAAAAGTTATTAGTTTCAATGTAATTTTATATATTATCGTTGTTTGTCGTTCAAGTTGCAAATTTTCTTTATTTTTCTTTACAAACCGTTGATGAATGGTTCAATTTTGCAGTTCAATAAAAACAAAAATAAAATATTAACACAAATCAAAAAGCACAATTTTCACGTCACGGTCACGTCATTGTGTTACAGTGACGTGACCGTGACGTGACCGTGATTTCGGGCATTCAAATAGAACCTTTAATTGTATAAAAAGTACATTTTGTTTAGACGGAACCGGATCCAATATGATGTCTTTTAAATAGTGGTTTTCCATCTCAACATGCGCAAAACATACTGCCTACGGCTTGACGTGTTGGCGTAGATGTTGACACGGTATCGGTCGAAACTCCACTTATGTGAATATTTCACCATTCAACTATTCACAGCGTAGAATCAATACTGTAAATATTGGGGGAGGGGGTATTGGGGGAGGGGGGGGGGGGAAACATTACTAGTAATTATCTTCTTTTTCCATTTTGAAATAAATAAACTTCCCCTTAGCCGGTTACGTTATAGCGAATAGTGTAGATTGTATATTAAAATTCTGATCATGTTTTACTACCAGTATATATCGTCAAAATAGCAATATGTGCGTTCCCAAAGTCTCTTCAATACAACATAAGTTCACGGTCTAGTGCGTATAAAGCTCACATGGCCAGCTAGACTCCCAGATTTGACACAAGCTGGCCGGCAAGGACGGATCTTATTTCTTGGTGCTAGTTAATATTTAACCAAGGCCAACGTACGAGTAGGCATGGCACACCCAAGAGCAACAGAACTGCGGGCTAGGAATGCTGGAGGTTTAGGCGGAGAAGTGAATCAAGAAAAGAATCTTCAAAGATTTTCAAGAAACCAAGCAACCTCTGACGAGGCTCCACTACTCGACGAAGAAACTCTCCTCAGTAAACACGAAATGGCAGAGCAACAAGCTATCGAGATCGAGCTCGAGAAGACTGGTCTAACGAAGAAAGAAAACGAGCAGTTGTTCTTTCGAGACGGTGTACGGTTAATCGATTATGTCCTGGTTTTTGAGGCGCCGGCAGCCGATACTGAGATAGATGAAGACGACCAACAGAAAGAAGACTCTCACGCTGAAAAAAGAAAAAAATACGAAGCGAATCTTAAAGAGCTTGGCTTAGAGTTAGAGTTCGAAGATGGTATCTCCACCAAGGTAAGAACAGGTATTTGCATAATAAATGAATCTTACAGACAATAATAACACCACGTGTAGTGAAATTTTAAATAATATTCAATTGATTTTCAGTTTTACAAACGTTTAAAACATGTAATCCATCTAGAATTTTGTCTGTTTTCTTTGGTAACAGTCAAATCTAAAAAATAATAATGAGAGTCTAGGCTGATTATAACCCCTGTGTAGACATAATTATATCGTAGTTTAATATTCAGCGCCAGGCGTTTGTTAGTAAACATTTTCTATTGTATTATGGCTTTAAGAAAACGTTAATGGCTTTTCCTAATTGTTACAATCATATAATATTTGATTTTGAAGTTGTTTACAACTGCTAACTTTTCGTGTCAGCTTCTCAGTTTCGAATCATTGTTGGGGTCAAGTCAGGGTTTTAGTGTAAAACACAAAATATTATCTTAAAAAGAGATCAAATATCTTGTATAATTAACTTAGGTAAAAAGTCCCCCTTACTGGGAAAGCAACAATACATTTATTATATTTGAGTTAGCAATGCAGAAGTTAAGACACACAAAGAGCACTTGGATTCTCTGGATTCTCGAAATTCGATGTTACATTCCATTTGATAAAAAGATGTGATAGCAAAATTATACTAGTTCACTATAGCTCCCATTTATCCCTTGATGAAGACTGATCAATGTAAGGGGTCTAGCAGTCCTTGTTCAGTCAGGGAGGAGGTGCAATTAGGGAAAGGTCAGATAACCTTATATTCATGCGTAAAAATAAGGCAGGCAATAGCTAGAATACACTTAAAAGTGTGTGATTTGAAAATATAGTTTATTAAAATTATAGAATTGACTTGTACATTTATATATTTACTACAATGGCACCAGTCTATTATTCCTGCGAGCAGAGTCTCCTTTTAACTCTGCTCGCAGGGCAGTCTATTATATATGTGGAGGCCCATCATTGTAAAGTGGATACCCCCAAATTGTCTCCTAATATTACTGTAACAATACTGCCTCACCTCCTTGAAAGACATCAATAAGAAACAAGAAACCCATTTGATCAGTTAAAGAACATTTTGGGTTTTAAGAAAATTGGATTTAATTTTGTTCCCCAAACCACGAGCTAAAGCCATACTCAATTACATCGAACCTCCGCCACTTGTTCCCTTGAACACTTGTATGAATTTTCTTACTCTATAAAATTTCATAAACAGGGACTACTTGTAATTTTTAAATTACCTAAAGCTTTGACAATAATTATGTTGCAATTACCCCTCAAAACTGTGGGAATGGAAATTGCATTTTCAAGAACCTGAATATTAAAATTTTCAGGGGGGTGGGGGCATTTCCCCAGAAGATATGAGGTCATTTTCTAGTTTTCAAATTTTTAAATGTAATTAATTTACTGGTCCTTCGTAGATATAGTTATTTTCAAAGATGTAGAGTTTTATATTTTTGATACATTATAGATATTTGATTCTCATTGATTTTTGATTCTATTAAGTGCAAACAATATAACCGTGAAACTTTAGTAATACTAAATAGCACAATTTCATGCAAATTCCATTGTTTTCTATTGTTTAGTTAGCACTATTTTGTACTATTAGTAATTAGTTATTCACAGATTAATTGTTTGCACTTTACTTTTATATCTATAATTTATTCATTCATATATTTCATAATTACTTAGTATTTATGGTTATTGATCTGAGGTCCCTCATGAAAAGCACCACTGGTGGTGCAGGGGTGGATCCAGGATTTTGTTCAGGGAGGGGTACGTGCTATGCACAAAGTTAACCCTGGGATGGGTACACCCCTTAGAATCAAAGGGAAAACATTATTTTATATTGGTTATCTTCCAAGTAGGGGCACAAAGTGGAACAAGAGAGGGGTGGATCTAGCTGCCCCTGGATCTGCCCCTGTTGTGATAAGATTCCCTCATTAAGTAAATTTTTTTATACATTCACCCCTCAAATTAGCCCCTAGCCTTCTATGCAGGCATTTTTATGGTCCTTTATTAAAAACCCCTGTCAATGTTCTCTTGTAACGGTGGGCACCTCGGGAAAAGAAAAGTGTCCATTAGTAGAGCTGTTTGTCAATGACTAGAGTTCCCAAAAGTGGACATACCATGATATCTTTTAATTAGAAAAATAGTATGTATCTGATTATGGGAGCTGGAAAACAATAAATAGATCAAAACTGAAGCCTTCAGCAGCTAGATAGAATATGTATAATGGCATCACAATAGCTATTTATCAGTCAAAGCTCTGTAAACATTATAGGCACATGAGCATGTTTATTAATAGAATTTTTGTTTTTAATATTGTGCTTTTTTGACGCCATTTTACATATTCTATCAAGGGGATGAAGGCTTCAGTTTTGAAGCCAAAACGTCCATATTTTTATTATTTTGGAATGTGTGATTGCTCCTACAACACTTTTAATATTTGAGGCTTTATAGTGAAGGTCAAACCGTTTGCAGATATTTTAAACGAAAGCAGAGTATCCTGATTTATTGTTTAATTATTGTTACTCAGAGGCTTAGTTCAGCTGGTAATTAAACTCAGCACCTCCTGTCAGTATGTATAACTACGATCAGATTTATGGGATGACAGGGCAGTTTATAATTGTGATATAAATGACATTATTACAAGTATAGGATTATATATTGCTTTAACCACTTGCAACTTTTCTTTGTGTCTAAATCTAGAGTTTGTGTTGTTTCTAAATTCACATTTGTTTGAGGGAAACGATTATGGATGGGGCAAGGGAAGAGGTAATAGGCATGAATGGAAAGAGGGAGAAAGGGAAGAAAGTTAAGAAAAAAAACAAAAAAACAAACAAACAAATTCTTATTAATATAGGAGTATTATACATTACTTATCATCGTTTCAGGGTAATACCAAGCGAGATACCCATTTCATTAAGATTCATGCACCATGGGAAACCCTTGTCAGGACAGCAGAAGAGATGTTAATAAAGATGCCCATCAAAGATAGTGACATTGACATTAAAACTTGGTCTGAGAAGCACTTGAGTGAAGAGTTTGTTGAATCCATTAACAGCCATGATCCGTTCAAAATCAAGGACTCTAATATCCCCCCTCGAAAGAAGCAGTTCGTAGCGACATTCAGGCGGGATCATTTGGACCAGTTCCTTGGCCATCATGACAAGGCAACATTTTTTAATCGAACTGACCGTAGCCGTATGGTCGAGCGCCTTTGCCTACAAGCATCCTTTGGCGAGAACCGTTTTGACCAGGGAATTAAACGTCTTCTCCATCAAGGAGCTTATGTTGCTGCGTACCCGCTGCATTCAGGACATGAAGAGACCCCATTTGGCCAAGTGCCGTCCAATGATCGACAACGGCTACGTCGAGACTGGGCAAGATTTGGGCGTKTGCTTAAATATCAACCATACGATGCAATCAAAGATTATTTTGGCACAGAAATTGGGCTGTATTTTGCTTGGCTTGGCTTCTATACTGCTATGCTTGTCCCAGCGGCAATATTTGGCCTGATAGTCTTTATTTATGGAATAGCAAATGCCTACGATTTCCCACCAGTTAAAGACATCTGCAATAAGTCCAATGAACGCCTTTTCTACATGTGTCCTCTCTGCGATCAGCAGTGTCCCTATTGGACGCTGATATCGAACTGTTACTATGCCATTGCAGTAAGTGCTTTTGACAACGATAGCACAGTTGCCTTTGCAATATTTATGTCGATTTGGGCGACTCTTTTCTTGGAGTTCTGGAAGCGAAGACAAGCTGTTCTGGCGTACGAGTGGCACATGATGCATTACGAAGATGAAGAAGAACAACCACGACCTGAATTCCTTGCCCGAGTCACAACCTTGAAAGAAGACCCAATTACTAAGAAAATGGTCCCTCATGTCCCTAAGATAAAACAGTACCAGAAACTCGCTGGTGTTGGAAGCTTAGTGGCATTCATGATCAGTCTCGTACTTGGGGCCGTTGTGGGCGTGGTGGTATATCGTGCATCTGTATATGGTGCTCTTTTGAGTGCTGAAGATCCAAGTATGAAGAAGAATGCCAAGATCACTACTACTATAACTGCTGCTCTCATCAACTTGATCTGTATTAATATCCTCAAAATTGTCTATGAGAAACTGGCTATGTTTCTGACGGAATGGGAGAACCCGCGTACGAATACAGATTTCACCGACAGCTTCACGTACAAGATGTATCTTTTCCAGTTTGTAAACACGTATTCTTCAATTTTCTACATTGCGTTCTTCAAGTTGAATCTAGTGATTGGCACTCCAGGGAATTATCAACGCCTTGGTGGTAGTTATCGGTTGGATGGTTGCAGTAGTGGTGGGTGTTTGATGGATCTTTGTATACAGCTAGTGATCATCATGGTCGGTCAGCAGGTCATTGGCAACATAACAGAGATAGCGATACCGTAAGTAAGCATTGAATAAAGTAGGTTTTGTACTGAGGGATGTGAGAACGTGTCATGTCCTAGCAGTTTTGATTGGATGAGCAGCTTAAGTTACATGTGATTGATCCATTGGAATCCACTGTTAATCCCATTCTTATTATTAGTCCAGTAAGCTGTAGTAACTAGAGAGTATTCTATAACTTATGAGTGATTAGAGCAGTTTTAGTATGACGACTGTGAAAATCTCAAGACAAGAGCAATGGCGTGACACGGAAAGGCATACGCTAAACCATTTAAATTGCGTGAGAATTTAATTTAGAGCTATTCAATTCAATGTAGAGCTATTGTAAGTTTTGATTTTTTGCTGGTCATTTCCGGTGGCGAAAGTTTTGCTTCAAAACCTCGCGCGGAGGCATCTATTCAATGCTGATTATCTGGAAGACAAGCTTGAGACACCCCACTTTTCTTTTTATATTTGGAATCAGCATTAAAGTTCACTATAGAATTGTAGTTTGAAAAAAGTTTAATTTTCTTCCAAAAGTAGCCAGTCACCTTAAGATTCTAAAAGAAATATCACGGTCGCGGCATGGCAGGCTTATGCACCGTGATTTTTCACAGTCATATGAAAACTGCTCTATTTCTGTTCCTAACAGCTGACTGTCAGTATAGCATATCTCTTGAACGTGCTCTAAACCTTGTATGTACCTGCCATGCTTTCTCACGTGGCCAACAAACTTTTTTTTACTTTACAGAGGATTGATGAAGTGGTGGAAGCTGAGGCAAGCTCGCAAGGACTCCTACATAGAGATTCCACGATGGGAGATTGACTATAAACTAAGTGCCCTTCCTGAGCACCATTTGTTTTGGGAATACCTTGAAGTCGGTAAGCCATCCAGCCAGCCAGCCAAATAGACCTGTTTTGAATTCGTTAACCGACAGGATGGTCCATCTTTGGTACATGCATAAGGAATGCATGATGTGCAAAAGATATTTATACCGTAGCTGGACCATGTATCATGTTTGCTTTCTCAAGACAGGTCTATGCATAGGCAGTATCCTTTCTGAAGCTTCAGCAATTCCAATTGGTTACATACTGGCAGTAAAAAATCTGAAATCCAACAACGGGCTTTTCATTAGTAATCGAAGATTCGATACATTCCTTTCTTGCTTCTGGTTGGAGTGCGTGTCAACAAAGCAGTTTCTTATTTTGTGTAAATTAGTCCCGTCTGTTTTTTTCTCGATTTTGTTCTCAACATGAAAACACTAATTAATGTCATTTTTTATTAAGTTCTCCAGTTTGGATTCGTCACCATGTTCGTGGCTGCCTTCCCTCTAGCTCCACTCTTCTCTCTCATCAACACGGCAGTAGAAATACGTGTTGACGCTATCAACTTTGTTTGTCAGTTCCGACGCCCGACTGCCCACCGAGCTCAGGATATTGGCGCCTGGTTTAACATCATGGAAGGCTTGGCCAATATTTCTGTCCTCATCAATGCCTTTGTGATAGCTTTTACTTCTGACTTTATTCCAAGGTAAGTTTATGCATATAGATTTAGTTAAATTAAATAAAATACACGTTCAGAGTAATTTAAGTTTTAGAAAGTTTAATGACTTTTCAGAAGGCCGCAAACTTCCTTCATTTGGATTGAATTATTTGTGCGTTTCTACTTAGAACTGTAGAACGTAGAACTGTAATTCCAAGGCCTTTCAACTGCAGATTATGTTACGATCATTTCTGTATTGTTTAGACTAGTGTACAAGTACAAGTACAGCGAAGATGGAACTCTCAATRGCTACCTCAACAACAGCATGTCATACTTTAACGTAGACGACTACAATGTAACCGACCCACAAGCACAGCCTCTCGAAAAATACGCCCACGCGTTTTTGAATTACTCTCAACCTTTCTGCCGGTAAGAGTTATCGTGATACATTTTATCACAATTAACAGAGATTGAAAAGCAGTTTCCTTTTCATTCCCAGTTTTCCAAATCTCAGTCGATCTCCGAATAAGGCTACTGTTTCGGCACAGCCTTAGTCTTGATAACCATATCATGCTCAATCTCATCAATTGATGGTTTTCACGGCGGCCATGTTGGAGGAAGTTAACAAAAGAATTGTCAATGAATTCTTTTGTTATATCCTCCAACATATGGCCGCCGTGTCTTTTGTTATTTGATTCTCTTGGGAATGGTTGAAAACCATCAATAGTTCTTTTAAAAAAAGAAGAAAAAATATGGCTTTTCGCAAACTCCTTTTTTTCTGCATGGGTATCTATTTAGATTAATGCTAGATATCTGTATCAGTTACCCAGGTTACCATGAACCACACAAGCCATACGATGTCACCAAGCAACACTGGCACGTGATTGCAGCCCGCCTTGCCTTCGTATTCGTCTTCCAGTACTTGGTGTATTGCGTGACAAAGTTTGTGTCGTGGGTCATACCTGATAAGCCTCGTCATCTTCAGCTAAGGATTAAGCGAGAGGAATACCTTGCCCAAAAGGCTTTGGAAGAGACCATGTCGTCCTCTGTTATCGCTTAATACCTTAATAATGGTACGTTTTAGTTTTAAAAGTTTTTACGGAATTACCATAGCTGTAAAGAGCATGTTAAAATTAGAAAACGGTGAAAATTAAAGGAAATCAGCTCAAAACCCACGAAGATATGAATCCCGAAAACTGTGGATTTTATAAGGAAATCCTTGGTGGTTGGCATGATTGCCTTACACAAATGTTTTTATGCAAAAATTCGATTTTTGAAAATGTCTTTGCGAGTTTCGAACTTCCTTCCTTCAAACTTCTTAGTTTTACTTATTGTAACATGCTCTTGACCTTTGGAATTACACGATAAAAACTCATTGGCCTTCAGTTAGTGGTAATGATTCCTAACGAGTTTAGAATATTTTCACTTTCTTTTATTTGATTTTTGTTAACAATTGCATGTTTTTTCTTTTCTCCAGCTGTCCTCTAAGGTCATACGCATCGCCAACCAACATTAATGATACCTGCAACGTGTAGTCAAAACGTTATATGTTTTTTATATGTTATTATGTATATGTATTGGTCTGTATAGAGTGGTAAGTCACTGGTCATAGTCTGCAACACGCTTAATTACTCCCTCAGCATTTCATAGTAATCTCTTACTTAAAACAACAGAATTCATGATTACCGCAGTATCAGTAAAAATCAAAAAGGTCTATTGATTCAGCGCCGACCTACTTACGATAATCTTAATAATGCACACCTCAACAGTTCAAACCCGGCCATCCACTCTGGAATGCCACGGATCTTCACTAGATTTTTTTTATATTTTTGAAATTTCGTTGGCGTTTAAAAATCCAGAGCAAAGTAATCCTCACAATTAGCAAAAATATATAAGTTTAAAAAATTTAAAATTAGTTCCGAGTACAGGGCTGTCAACTCTCCCGGATAAACCGGGAGTCTCCAGATTTTGGGCCGTATCTCCCGGTCTCCAGATTAGAGTCTCAAATCTCCCGGACAATCCCCGAAGCTGACCATTTTTTCTTGTGAGACCCGAGTTTCACAACCATAAAATTCCAATTATCTTATGTTGTTTGTGTTATTTTACATCGCTAACAAAATCAAATCGTTCCTCATGGCTGTTCTTGCAAGCAGGCCATTGTAATGAAGCGATAATCTGATTGGTCAGAAATAAACCAATCACATCAAATGTTACAAACCGAAAGGCGTCTTTTCGCGCGCTTTTTGACGCGCTGTGACGTCATGTCCCTTTCCTATCAATTCTCCAGATTTGAATATCTCGGGGGTTGACAGCCCTGCGAGTATATGTAACACCCTTGTTAGTTTGCTATTAGTCATTCCGGTGTTGAGGAAAAACCTTGGTTGAGTTAGCATTGCAGTGCATTGTGGGGCTGTCTTAGGGGACATATATCCAAGATGGCGTCTATTTAGTCCACTAAAACAGTCCCACAATGCACTACTACAATGTCCACTAGACCCAGTGTATCCTCAACTTCGGTATGGGTAATTAAAAGATTGTCTGTTTATTTTCGTACATATTTTGAGAAAATAATATATTAAAGATATTATGTCAAGTAAAGCCTGTATCATACCGTCGATATCGCTTGCATGCATGCAGCCGCGGTGCTATGGGAAAGACCTTTTTGTGTTACGATAGGTCAGAGCAATGCGAGTTACATTTGCCTTGACTTTGATCAGCCAAGAGGTTTTTTGGGTATCGATAAAAATCTGAAGTTATAGCATTTCACAAGCGTACACGGTATTTACACTTAGGCCCTGGCTAAACGAGGAAACAAGTTTCCCGCGCGGCGCATGTTCCCGAATGATACCAAGTTTAGCCACATGCGAAACATTGCTACGTGCAACAAATTTTGCTTCAAAGACGAAAAAATGTTCCTGCTGTGCGGCAGAAACATTTCATGATCATGCTTCCAAGACGCATGGAAACAATGTTTCCCAATGTTTCCTCGTTTAGCCACGAAAGTCAACATTCTAAAAGTTCGTTACTTAGCAACGCTAGCTCTATTTTGAAA